CAGTGTTCAAGGATTCAGGCTTCTCGTCAAACACGTTGCCCACACGTTCTTCGACTACTTCATTGTCACAGAGGGCGGTCGTCAAGGATAAAGATAATACGAAGAATCGGAATGGTCGAGTATTGGTAGATCTGACAGGTGTCAATGGTGTCACTACCAAGAAGAAAGGTATGTTGCTAGTGTTACCTGGACTAGCTTATCCTTACACTTTATGCATGATAGCCGATACCAAGCCCATTTCTATGCTACGAGTTGAAACACCGCCACTTGATGCAGCTCCCAAACCAGTTCTGCAGGTCGTCCGAGAAATGAAAGCTTCTATGATGGCCGCAAAACTTCAGAGAGAGAAGGAACAAGCTTTGAAGGAGGCTGAAAGCACCGATGCAGAGGGTCATGATATACCTACTGAGTTGTTCCCCAATGATGCACATACAAGGACAAAGAATGACTCGGTCCCGGTGTCCACAATCATAAAACATGGTCTGAAGACTTCAATGGGTAAGACGCTTTATATCTGATGTAGGATTATGACTAAACTCCCTCGCCATAGACAAACTAGGGAAAGTGTCCGCTGTGGTTGTTGGTGGAAACAGACGATCCTCTAGGCATTCCATATTCGAAACCCGGGATTCCCTGGATGGATCAGTCGTTGGAGTCAATCAATCAAAAGGTCGCCGAGAATCCACTCCTATACCGGTACTTACTGAAGAAGCACCTGGATGCGATTCAGTTGTGGAGGAAGTCGAACGGATCGATCGTATGGATCGGCTGACATCGTGGATCCGAGATGTCGAGAGTGAGTGGCTTTTTGTTCTCTTGGAAAAGAATTTCACTCACATTGCATCTGGTACATAGAAGTAGTGGAGGAAACCCGTTCATCGTTCCAAAGGTCGGAAGAGAACTATTCACCTCCGTCCTTGATTCCAGCTCCTTCACAATCGTCACCTCGAAGTTTGAGTCCTTCTACAGCTACTTCACGGAGAGCTCCGAATCCAAGACATTCAGTCAACCCTACTTCCGTGCCAGTTGATTTCGTGAAGAGGCGTCGAGCAACTGTTGGAGGTCCGTTTTCGCCAGCTTTAGCTGGTGATAGAAGCATACTCGAAGCTATATCCGCACTTGACAGCAATGGAGCTGTGAATACCGCTGATTCAAACTCGAAACCATCAACCGATAGGTCACCGACAAAGGCTAGGTCTCAAGGAGCACTGAATGTTCATATCCCCGGAATTCTGAGGTCCATATCTCCTGTTGCTAAACTGCAATTACAGCTTGATCAAGGTCAGTTGTCATGTATTTCTGCCTGATCAAGTCCTAACGTTCTATCAGAGCTTGAATCTTCTCAATCGCCTCCGAATCCACAACGTTTATCTGCTGTCATCGATCCTGCCGAATTGGCCGCTGAGATGAACAAGATCGATCGTTCTGCACCCAGTATCTCATTGGCCGACACCAGCAAGGATATCCCTTCTATCGAAATCAGTAGGACATCTGATTCGTTTGACACGTCACGACCCAGCAGTCCATTGGTTATCAAAGCGAAGCCTGTTGATCAAGGCAAACCAAGGCTATCAACTGGAATTCCTTCAGCCGCATCTATCGACGTGCTTTCAAACATGAGCATTCCCACAATTGTCAGTTCCAGCGCTTCGAATCTCGCCGCACGATCCGATCTCAGTGGACCTCAACTCATCAATCCTGCGAACAGCAAAGAGGTTGAGGGGGTTTACGATAGGTTTTTGATGGCAACTTCTAGCGTTGTGCGATTGGGTCGTGGTTACCAATCTGATTATTCGATCCGGAAGACCGCGGCTCATCAAACCCGACCCAATGAGAAAAGTCCCACTCCGAGCAAGGATGACTTGAAGTCCAAGAAGAAGTCCCTATTCCGCGGACCGAGTTCCGGTGCACTCCGCCCCAAGACTAACGTGGCTAAGCCAACCGCGACCAAATCGCACGATGACTTGGGCATCCGGAAATTAGGCATCAAGAAGCCAGGAATGGCCAAAAGTGGTACTGAAAATGTTCCTGTGCCGGAAGGAACAACCGTCAAGGGCCGAGTGAAGAAGGCATTCCAAGCCATTCTTGCAACCCCCTCCGTCAAACCATCAAGGACTGTCAACAGAGCGCATTGACATTATATTCCCCATTTCTTTTGCTTTCATCTACTATGCTTTGCTTTTCGTTAAAATCTGTTTTATATTTTGCTTTTATTCGATCTCGGACTTTGGATTTTATTTCTGTATCTTTAACATTAGTGGCCTCGTGCGCCGCTGCCATTCTTTCCTCACCACAATCATTACAGTTCGAGATCGGTGTTATTTAGATATTTGCTTTCTTCGTATATGCTTTCCGCGACTCTGTCTTGGATTTTATTGCTCTTTCTTCTCGTTTTATCTTCTCGTTTCAGCATTGTCTTTATCCCCTTGTTTTCTATCGCCACCCTTGCCATTTTCTCCCCCACCTCCTGCTGGATGCCTCTCCGGCATCCAGATGTCTCATTCACGCAATTCCCAATGTAACCCCACGCCCTGCACGCCCCCTTCCCTGCCACGCATTCATGACCGGTTTCTTGCATGTCCTGCCAAGTTTTGATTTTGATGATGCATTGGTTTCATGATTCGTCTCGCTTTCCAGTGAGACATCGCTTTGTACGAGGTTCTCTTTTGTTTTCCTGTCTACGACTTCCGCATATCCTCATGTAGCTCCTGGATTTTCATGGTTTAACGCATTGACACGGAAATGACCTGACAAACAACCCCTTGTACTGTGTGCTTTGTGTGGACGCATTGTTAACCCCTGACCTTCATCATAAAATCACTTTTATCACAGCCACAAGCCAAGCTAATTCTGGGCTTGAGCCTCTCAAGAGTGGTGAGATTAAACACAAAGCTTTCAATTCTGACGCTAAAGCGATCAGGTGGAACAAAGGGTATTTAATGATTTACAAGTTCGGATGTATTCAAATTTCAGACGGGGTTCTCACAGACATCCGGCGCGTGCTGATTTTCGGCAGCACATGATGTAGCGGCACCATACATGAAGACCGACGTGATGAGCCTGGTAACCCCCCGTCAACTCTTGCTGCTTGACTGTGCCCCCAGATGATATGTTTGAGACATTGCTCGTGAAAATATGTAATAAGCGCCTAGCTAGAAACAGTACTGCACTTTTGAGAGTAGGCCCTCGGCTTCACAATGATATGGTGTGATTACATTATATACATCTCAGGATCAAGGCGCACCTGTTCGCTGGTGACGCTGATCGAGGCACTATACAGAAACGTCAAGGGTGGTCTATTACGGCTTCGTATCCTGTTACGATCACATGACATAAACAGCAATCTCCGAAGTCCGCAAAATGTTCAGTTCTGCCTTTTTCAATCGTACAGTTTTGTAGCCCCTAGAGTCTTAAGTCGATACTCAGCAGTTTGACTTTCTTTCAAGCCACATTTACCATAGGTGCTTGTATACACTGTGGTCGAGGGTTAGGTCCCCGGTGATTTCTCCATGTTTGCCCCGCCTCGAAGACAGGGAGTCGTTTGCACCTACAAAAAGGGTGAAGGAGGGATCTGGGCCTTTGATTGGAGAATGACCTAGGGACTTTGGCAGCAATTTGAGCCTAGTCTGGGCGAAGCGCGGAAGCAACTTCCGCCCGAGCGCTGTGCTATTCTTTTCTTCTCAACCAACCGCAACTTTGGCATCCATTGACCGATGCACGTATGGACCCAAAGGGACCAAATTTATTCATCGGGGCCGCACGCTTATACTTCGAAACAAAGTTTAGGGACCTTATGTGGCACCTTATCTGCCTCGGAGACCGTGCACCGTTGTTTACAATGACCATGCAAGTCCATAACATATGTCGACAATGGAATACATGAATCTAGCTCCGGTGAACAATTCGCTTGTTCGAACGGAAGATAGCGACACGGCTGGGCAAGTGAAGCAACCCCGAAAAGCCTGTCTCCATCATTACCCTGAGGTTCGTGCCCTGTAATCATGATATGTCTA